GTTTTTTCCATGCAAAGCTTGTGATCTTATTTTTATTTTTTCTAATAATATAAAACCATCTTTTGAAATATGGCACTCTTTTTTTCTCTAAATCAACACATCAAGAACAGAAAGAAAAAAAAAAAAAAAAAAAAAAAAAGACTTGCTCTACGTAAGAAAATGTATTGCGGTGAAAATCTGGATTTGATGTAACAAGGATTTTAGTGAGAAGAAAAAACAAACAAATAAAAAAACAAATTAAACTGATCCAAGTTCTGTGACCAACATTAGCTCCATAAGCACAAAACATTACTGAAAATGTTGAAGTACCCCCTTTTCTTTACCCTCAACCGCTGATTGAACACTTACTCCAGAAAAGGGATGGAAAGTACAGAACTGAACTTTTCAAGTAATTCTTAAACTTGTTCTTATGTATCTGTAATAACATTAGTTCCTAGAGTGAAATACATGGCATTCATATGTAGGTCTGATTCTAGGGCCGCACTGAGGAAGCAATTTCATCCAAAAGATGGAATAATGGGGACAGCAATCTTTAGGGGGTTTTCACTAATCTGCTACTTTCCAAACCCAATTATGAGCTCAGAGATGTTGTGACTGTATTGAGTGGTCTGACATTGCAGTGCATGCAGGGCTGGGAGCACAATTTAAAAGGTAAGCATTGCACCTATTTCTGCAGAGACGTGAAGGGGGGGGGCAATATCATGATCATGCAAAATGGACTGTGATATGTAATAATAAGACAGCTGACAAAGTGCATGTGTTGTTAGATGCAGGATCAGACTAAAACCGACCCACAATCCTGAGGGACAGCATGACGATAATTTCAATCTGTATCACAGGTTAGAGACAACTAACAGTTGTTATGCGGCACTAAATTAATTCATCTTCCAGTAACTCCGCCCTGCATTATGCTGGCAAAAGGCATGACATAAAAGATGAGCTGAGCAAGAGTGTCAGTTTGTGTAGCCAACACAGTCACTCACTCATTCACTCACTGAGGCTGAAAGTCACTTATGATATGTACAACCATCAGTCTGCATTTTTAATACCACTATATCACTTATACCAGCATAATTAGGCTTCACAAGTTGATTCCATGTACCAGTTATTGCTCCATCTTGTTCTTGGTCCCATCCCACTTACTTCAGGTATTTTATATTGTGGTGGTAGAAAAAAAAACCTAAAGATAACACAGCTCCGAAGAACAAGACTAGACCCTCAGTGTGTCCATGGAAGATCTGGAAGAAGAAAACAGCAAAACTTAGTGGCCCACAAACCAACAAATAAGTTCAGTTTAGAAGGCTTTCTTCTCCAGCTGGTCCAGAATTGCCTGGATCCTCTGTACGGCCTCCTTCCGGGCTTGCCGGACAGTCTCCTGTCCCTGAGTCTCCACAGAGTCCAGCTCCAGCAGCTCTTTGGTCAGCAGTTCCTCCAGATACCGATAACTCTTGTCCGTCTTTCTGCCAACAAACTCATCAACATCTTCTTGAAGCAGCAGCACTCTGGCCATGACCTGTTGGACCTTAGCTAGGCCGGGGATATGGCTCAGGGGCTGAGGTCCAGCCTGGCCTGGAGACGGCGCTTGAGCCGGGGCCGAGGGCGGCGGCTCACCTTGCGAAGGATTAGGTTCACCTCTACCGGTTTTGTTGTACATTTGGGGAGGGGAACTTATTTCAGCAGGCTTTCCATTGGGTGGATTCAGGGATGGGGTTGGCCTGGGTTTAGGTCCCACTTGTGGGGCACGTTGGTGCTGTTGGTCCTACGGTAACACAAAACAAAAGACTGTGTTTAGAATATCTGATAAAGCTCCATACCATAGAAGCACCCGAACCCTTTTTACACCCTTAGCATTTATATACTACAAGGACTTACTCAAATATTCTATGCCGATAGTTAGATAGTAGATAGTAGTAATTCTCCAAATCTGATTTCATAAAGCCACATTACTGTATGCCCATTCCTGACCTGGGAAGAGCTCCTATGGGTTTTATGTATCTGCTTTTTACTATTATTGCTGATTATATACCTACAGAATGAGCATCCAATAATTTGATTTTTGTATTGTTATTTTTCTCATTTTGAACATCTGATGCCACCAAGATCAGAGGTCGTGCACCCAGACCAGACATGTTTCCTGGTATTTCTTGGTTAAATTCAGATCAAAACAAGTGTGACTATACCTTATCTGAACTTAGATAAAATTGCTATTTCCTTAGTTTTAAAAGCGCATATTCTCTTAAGATTGTACAATACTTTGTGTGTCTATTTGTTTGTATATATTATATCAGGCTCTCTTACCATGTACCTCACTTACATAACAATCCCAAAGAAAATGAGAACCACGTTGGAATAGCTGCAGATTCATACCTTGGGCTGGTAAGGTGGTGGAGCACCTGTTCCAGTCCCTGGCCATGCTGGAGGATGCAGAGGACGGGCAGGATTTCCGTAGTGGTTTTGTGGAGGCTGCTGGCCTGGCTGCCATTGCTGCTGTGAGGGGGCATATGCACCAGAGTGTGCCCATGCATCGGCCTGGGAGCTTGGGTGGAGAGACTGGCTAGTGGGGTACGGGGGGTTGGGAGGCATTGCATGTCCACCTTCACCGTAGTGAGGATACGGTCCAGGAGGATATCCAGAACCCTGAGAACAGAGGCAGGACTTTATATGTAGTATTTCCAAGAATATGAATTTTCTTCGGTTATTTTTATGACCAATATCCCTCTGCATGGTATATCACAGTCAGAGACAATCAACTTTTCCATTTGGCAACTACCATTTCCAACATTTGACCATGACGTGTCCTTAACTGAACTCACCCCTTGACAATGAGGACCAGGATAGTGATGATGTTGGTGTTGAGAGTGTGGCTGCCCAGATGGCCCACTGCTCTGCTCTGCTGGACAGCCCTGGTTAGGATAAGGACCTGGAGCAGGTCTCTGAGGGTCAGCACAGTAGAAAGGGTTGGATGGGTGGAAACCACTTGTTGAATATTGACTCTGCGCTGGGCTGTATACACCATGGCCGTTTGGATAACCTCCAGGCATCACCTACATGGAAAGTACAAGGGAGGGAGGGGTGAAAATGTATATATCTCATCTCACAGTGATGTAAGGTAATGAGTAGATTTACTCCTACTATAGTCCTTTCGAGGAAGAGGGACGGTTTATGTTGCATAATGAGATGTACCTGTGGATTGTACTGTGGCTGAACATCAGATCCTGAGGGATAGGTATTTGCATAGTGTCCTGTGGAATGAGACTGGGGATACCAGTAGTGTGAAGGGTAGCCTGGGTACTGAGGAGCGTCCTGTGAACACAGAATATCACGTAGGAGAGTTATTTAAAGAGGAAATGTTTGTGCTTAGGTACCAAGAGGGGTGCTATTTATAATCTGAGCTGTCCATGGTACAGGCTAACATAGAAAACTGTAAACCACATGCATCCAACCTCACCACTTACCGCAGAAATTAAATAAAGTAACTGAGTAATTTAACAGAAGCACTGACTGTTAATTTAGAGTTGCTGAACCAGATAAATGCTAAGCGAATACGGACCTTGCTGAATATCTGAGAGACACGTTGTTGCTAAAAACGTTTTAACACAACTGTAGTAGCTCACTATTAAGAGTGTCGTCACGCCAAGATAACCGTGACAAACTCGGTTGAACTAGCAGTGTAGCGTTAAGTATTACATAATGCCAGCTAACTCCGTTAGCCGTCCAGCTAGCCTGAGCAGAGCTCTAACGTTACGCAGACGAGCTGGGTGAAAATGTTTTTCTGCACAGACTCAGGTCGTTTTTTGAAATTTAAACACACTCATGGACAGCGGGCGAACGATGGGGATTTGTCTACGTTGAACGAACTCACTTACCATTGCGTTATTCCAGTCCCCGTGATTATCTTCCGAGTTGCAAGTCGAGGGCCAGCCAGGTTTCAGATTTGACTGCATTTGGTGGTGATGCATCAGCTAAGCGCGGTCCCCGGCAGCCGTCCTGTCATCTGCCATTGCCCAAAAAACAACAACAACAACAAGCCTTTTCACGCCTGGCGTTACTTATTTGAGCCGTTAGTTGGTCTAAACTGTTAACAACGATGTTCCTGTTTTCTACAGAAGAAGAGATCGCCTGATTGGAATCAGGAAATGATTGAATGACGCCGAGCTTAGGTAATAATGTACTGTCTCTTTAAGAAGAGGAGCGAGTACAACTATAGAGCTCTCACTCCGCCGCTATTTTCCGGTCTGCCGAAAACTAATTGCCGTCTGCTGGAGCTGTATTAGTCTCTTCAATCACTTTCTGGCAGGTGAAACAGCCTACTGCATTTTATGGGTTGTAGTGGCCATTTAAAGGTATTTTAACAGGTGAAAAAGAGTGGATTGGTTGGTAGGCCTACACAGCAAGTAAAATAATGCATCATCAGTCATAAGGATAATTGCAAAATTGTCTTCATTTTATATCTAAGTTGGCAGTAAGTCATGTTAATTAGGCTACAGCCCGTTTCCCAAATATAAACAAAGATATTACACATAGGCCTACCAAACATCAGTTTTCGGCAGACGATCACTTTTCGGCACACACCTGTACCACGATCTTCGTCATCACGGGATGAGGGACGCTTGGATCTGCCGCCATTTAATTACCTTATTCTCATACTGCATACAGATGTGATGTGTGTCTACTGTTTAGGGAAGTTCGGATGAAATTTTTTTATTTAATTTTGTTACCGCTTTGGCTAACACAGGTGTTGAGTTGTTCCGAAACTGTCAATGTCGCCGGCACATATACGATCTTCGATGTCACGTGTTGGGTCAGTAGACGCATTTAGCCAATAGGAAAAGCGTAAAAATATATGATATTTCTTCCAATAATATCTTATATTTAAATCTTAAAAAACGACCCGTCTTTTGTGTTACATTTATTAAAGAGGTGTTTAAGGCACCGATAGAAAGCAGTTAATGAACTGAAATGTGATTGGATTGCAGCGCTGAAAGGGTTAAAGGTCTACAGGAAGTTTATCCCGGGCGTGTATAAAGACGCTTCCTGTGCTCTTCTCAAGAGAAACATATTTTGAAACATTCATGGCTTGACCATACATTAAGATACGAGAAGCAAATAACTCAGCAGCCCAAGATGAACTACGTACCAGGGACGGCTAGCCTCATTGACGACATCGACAGTAAGTTGGAGAAGAGGATCCACTCCCTCGGAGATGCATAGATAGAGACGGGTTTTGTGGAAAATTGTTTCAAGATGTGGCATCGTGTCTGACAAATTGAATCACTTGTTACCGTTTGATATTGTAACTAAACATTTTTGTGTTGGTTGTATCCTGCAGAGAAGCACCTGGTGCTGCTCCGTGATGGCAGAACACTGATCGGTTATCTCAGAAGCATTGATCAGTTTGGTATTAACTCATTTATTTATCTTCCACTTGTTGTTAGCCTACTCCGTTTATTGTGCAAAGCATTCCCAGCTAATTCCATAAAGCCTCAGCTCAAATGTTAAGATTCCCACCATCTGAAGTTTCTATTTTGTGTTTTTCAATGCACTTTATTTCTCTAACCTGTTTCTCTTGTTTCCCCCAGCCAATTTAGTTTTTCACCAGACAGTTGAGCGCATCCATGTGGGAAAAAAATTTGGTGACATCCCCAGAGGAATATTCATTGTGAGAGGAGAGAATGTGGTGCTGCTCGGAGAGATAGTAAGTGGGAATGTCCTCCTCTTATATATGTGTGTGTGTGTGTGTTGGACTGTATAAATGGCTGAAATTATACAAACTGGTGTTCAATAACAGTAGATACTAAAATTAATTTGACCAAAGTCAGAATTGTTATTCAGACATTAACATAACCAGCCAGGTTGTCGAAACAGGTGGCTACAATGCTTATGCACTCTGCTTATAGTTATACAGCTAACTTTTATTAATTTTTAATAGCGATAAATCACGAGTTACAAACTAAGTAAATGACATCAGTTCTGCTACTCTCTGGTCAGTCTTTGTTTTTTTGTTGGTAAATAAGGCTCTTTATTATAACGGCGCTTGTTGTGTAAACAAGGATGCACACTAAGCCAGGTTGGTACATGGATGGTGAGATGTGTCTTATGCAGCTTCCAGATGACTGAAGGCTGGCTGGATCTCACAGGAGCTATAGACTTAGAAACTGTATTAATCCATCTGCCATCTTGATGCACTGTAAAAATGCTGTAAGATAAAAAAAGTCTGACTCTTATTCACAACATTAAAGAGTTACAGTAACGGAAACACCATCCAAGACTTCAGGCTCCAGACTTAGACTTGGTTAGTATATTGGTCTACAAAAGATGATGGCAAACTTCAATCAGTGTTCCCCAAAGCCCAAGAAGACATACTCAAGTGTCTTGATTTGTCCACAGACCAGATTTTCAGTTTACTGTCCGAGTAAGGTAACCAGGAAAAATAGATTTGTTTTCTTAAAGTGCTCAAATCGATAATCAAAATAGTTGGCAATTTTATAGTTGACAACTAATCTATTAATTGTTGCTGCTGTAGCACATAGTGCAATCATGACCCATGAAACCCAAACGCCATCTCTCTCATAAATATGCATCATGCATTCAGTCACAAAGCAGCATTTTGACAGGTGTTTAAGGTATTTCATGTAATCTACAAAGAATAGATGCATAGGCGTTAAGTGCGTCGTATCACATGATGATGTAACGCCACTTTCATTTATAACAACAAACACAAAGTATCAATACACCTCCAAGCTTAGTACTCCGGGAGATTTTAACATGTTTTGTGGTAGTAGAGGTTTGCGGTAGCCTGATAATTACACTGAGTTGCCATTTGAGTTTAACTTCATTATAAATGTACTACTCTTTAATTTACTGCTATTGTAATTGCAACTGTAGGTGGATTTGCAATCTGCACACAGGCTAGGTTTGTGGTTTAGTAGGATCTGGTGCCCTTTCAGACATATTCGTTGCAATACTAGATTGATAGAGAGGTGTGTGTGTGTGTGTGTGTGTGTGTGTGTGTGTGTGTGTGTGTGGCCACTGACAGATGAAATGTTGTGCCTTTCTCTGTAGGATGTGGATAAGCCCTGCGACACACTTCTGCAGCAGGTCTCCATTGAAGAGATTCTGGAGGAACAACGGTTGCAGCAACAAGCCAAACAGGAGACGGAGAAAGTAAAAATGCAGGTCCTAAAGGACCGTGGACTTTCCGTCCCCAAAGCTGATAACTTGGACGAATACTAACGCTGACTTGATTCCAAGAGCCTCTTTCTCAGTTTGAATCGGACTAGGATATTTTAAGTTGAATTTGAGAGCATGTGGGGTTGTTTATGGGTACAAGCCTGCATCATGCAGATGCTGAGCCTATATACTGTAGTGTACTGTATGAATTTAATTTGAATTATTTGGAGAGGGGGGGGATGTGATAGCTGCTCTGTTTTGCAGATCATGACAACAGCAAAATGGGGAATATATATCTCTCTCTATTGGCAATTTAGCAATTACTTTACAGCAGCACTTTGTATTCTGTCACTGATGCGGGGAGTCTTTTTATTTGGAGATATGCGGTCCTGCTATTGACAAAAAAAACTAGTTGCTATGCTCCATTAAAAGTTTAGTTTTTCATTAAGGAAGGTGTGCTTGTTTCATCGCGCGCACACACATCAGACCTTATTGCCCATTCTGTTTTACTTGCTCTGCTGTGCTAGATGCATTATAAGGGCATTAAAGGGTAATTTCAGTGTTATTAAACCTGGAGGAAGATGCGGATGGAAAAATGAGTCAGACTTGGAGAGAGGAGTTCGTCCTGTAGTTGCATAGAGGGACTGCTAGCTAGATTTTTACTTACTGAATTTTTCGCTGATTTCGACAATGTAGAGGAGTTATTTGAATTTGATGGCTGTCTGTATTTGAGAGAGAGGATAAGGATTAAGATATCTAAGAAACGCCAGCATCTCAATCGGCAAACCATGTAGCACGCTGCAATGTGACATCAAAAATTCTGTTGGACTGAAAATCAAGCATTTTTACAGTAGGCCTATGGAGTTATGTCAGTCAGCTGATTACTCTAAATTGCAACCTATTTCCAACTACTTACGGTTCTTCTTTGAGTGGCCCCAAAGGTAAAAAAAATGTAAGACTTTTATTTTGGACATTAACTACACTGATGCAGTAAAAAAGCCTAATTAGGCCTATTAGTTTGTGGCCTAGTTATTTGTCCTGAACTCAAATCTAACATTTATTGTCAGAAATGATGGAACAATGTGTTTAAACTACCTCAAGTATCAAAGAAGACATTTCATGGTACAAATTGTCATTTGGAAAATCTCTAAATTGATCTTACACACTATATTATTGATACGTAAAAATACTTTATTTTCAGTCTGTATATGTAGTGAGTTATCCTGAACTAAAAGGGGTTAAGGAACTAGGCTGTTTTTCCAGCAACCCAAAAGCAAAGAAAAAAGATTTTTTACCCTTTAGGTAAGACTGCAGAAACGCCTGTTTTTGGAAAGTGAGAAAAATGACAGTAGATAACTCTGCCTGTCAGCTCCCTTTATTTACCATAAAGGTGACAATAGGCACTCAAAATTTACGCGCAGATGATTTGACCACGCACGGCTCAATTGAACAGTTATCAACATATCCTACCACTTGAATTAGCCTTTCATCGAGATGTATGATGATTTCACTGTGAACACTGTACTACTGTCTGCATGAGAAAAACGTTTCTAGGAAGATGTCAAGCTGTGTAGTTAAAGTATGCATTCCGGGCAAACTTCAAAATAAAACTCCTTAACGCCACAAAATTCAAAGTAGGAGTTTCATGGGCCCAAATGATTCAGGGGGCACAAGTCGAGCATGCTTGGGATTGGCTGCTAGATGCTTGGGACTGTTATCAGCTATGCCACTGACTAGTCACTGGGGCTTAAAATGGGGGAATCATTTTTGTCTCAACAGTAGGCCTCCTCCCATACAAATGTAGCTACCATAGCTACATTTAACTGTTGAAGGGAGGGGTGTGGTTATTCATAACAATGTGCATAAAGTAATACCTACTTTGCATCATGTAGGCTGCATGATGTTACAGGTTGCGTATAGGCTATGGGCACTCGTTGGGATCTAACCTTCGTAAGTTTCACAAACATAGAAGAGGGAAACGTACTAACCTGAATATGGCCCAGAACAAACGTTGTAGAAATAAAAACTTCAATCCATACGGACCCATTTAGTTTGCAATTACTGATTATGATATCCCCTGTAAATCTCAAAAAGTTAGGTGTCTACACCTGTGCTTCCACGTCTTCTGTGAAAAAGGCCAATCATTATTTTATTATGCAGAAATTCTACCACCAGAGGGCGACTTTAGGCTATCTTTCCCCAACTTTGCCGCTGTCATAAAGTTGAGTTATTGAAAGTCAGGCCCATCCTCAGAGGCGGTCTTATCAGGTAACAAGTGGAAACACGTATGTAAAGTCCATATACAACTTCAGTGAGTGGGCACAAAAATAATTGTAATGTACGCTTGTGTGTCAGCATTTTGTTCGGGCTATAATGCACCTAGGGGCAGAAATAATCAGTAGAGCTGGTGATGTGATCTTATTTTGCTGACAAATTAGCTTAACTTCTGTTGGAGTTGTTTCTGCCCCTGGCTTGACGCAGCTGTGCCAGAGAGGCCCAGCCCATTTTGATTACGCACTAACAGCGGAGGGGGGCGCACGCTGTTGTCCTCTCTTGTGCGATCAGCCAACCCCTGCCGTTGTAATGTAAAGCTGGTAGTATCCTGGTGTACCGCTGTAAAGAATCCGCTGAAAGGACCCGGTTTACATACATCGATGCCTCAAACTTGAATAGTTCCTGCATCGGAGAGATTCTGCAGCCAAATTACGCATGGAATGGTTTTGGGGGGATTGGAGTAGAAATGCAGCGCCGCACGTCCAGCTCACAACAAGAACCATGCCCAGCTTACATTGCAAGCAAATCTATGACATCCTGTTTTATCTTCTACGAGTTTGATATGAGTGAAATTTGTTCGGACACCGACGAGGAGTGAAGACATACACAGACCAGAAGCCGAAGGACGCTGTTTTCGCTGCAGACGCGTGTGTACCGAAAACCTCTGCATTTAGGATTTCGCTCTTCTCTTTTGATGGAGCTGGAGAACATAGTAGCCAACACTGTACTGCTAAAAGCGAGAGAGGGTAAGTTGACACATAAAGGAGCTAAGTGTAAATAGTAAGTAGTCCTGTCTGTGTCACATTTTGCGCTTAATAAGCAGAAAAGGTGGGAACAATCGTAATGACGGCACTAGGTATTCTGCTGACTATACGACTCAGTACAGCAGGTAAATCCTACAGATAAAACAGAAAATGAGTCTTGTGCGATATTACAGACAATATGGACACATCTCATTGAAAACGACTCGTCTGGTGATCAATTTTAATCTAAAATCAATCACACGGATCATTTTATTCTCACCGATTTTGACAGATCATATGCGTTTTCCCACATATGTAAAGGGGGGGTCTGCCTCCCACATCCGCTTTCGCTGTGTGCAAATGAATGCGCTCTTTCGCAACATTATACATGCTGAGGCAAACACGCTGGAGCAGGGGAATATTCTTTTCACAGAGGGAATAAATGAGTGCGCTGGCTGGCATTTGAACGGTGATCTGATGACGTGACTGGTGTTAAAATCTATATGTATGTGGCCTGCGCAGAGAGGGACTCTGGTTATCAGTGTATAAACGGTCCAATGTCTGTGAGGGCCAGATGCAGTTTAACTACAAATGTACATAGTGTCATTGTTGGCTCTTTTTTGAGGAAGACCGGGTCGTGCTGAGGGCAGGAGCAGGTAAACATCATGCAGTCTGACGCCATGACTGTTTCTCTTTAAGTCGTCTGGATGTCCTGAACCTGATTTGGGAACCAGTGGGTTGAAGGAAAAAAAACCCCCGCCAGCATCATACTTCCTTGGAGCTCTGGATGTGTGTCACACTTCTATCTTTTCCCCAATAAATTATGTAATATTTTCCTAGCAGCACTCTACATGCCAAGTAACTCATTTCTGAGGTCTGTCAAACAAGTGCATACACAAGTTTGGTTGCAGGCAGCACGTGGTTTCATGTGGCAATAGTCTCTGTGGGGTTGCGGGGTGAAGTAGGAAAAGACTGCTCCTTCCATTTATCTCAATGATGACATACTGGGGGGGGGGGGGGGGGGTATTCTGCAGTGCTGGCAGAGAGAGTTTCATGGGAATTGATGGGATAATGGAGTGAAATGTTGTCAAAACCCTGACGAAGGATGCTTTGGCCTGCAGGTCAATCTGGATGCTTGTTTTATAGGAGCAGAGAACGACTGGGCCGGGCGAATTAAGCTTCATGAATTAATAAGAGCCGTTAATGACCCATGACAAGTCTTGCTTGTCCCAGCTGCTCCTTTGGTGCTCATCCAGTCCCTGCCCTGTTTGTGTGTGGGAGAGAAAAGGCCTTTCACAATTTCACATTAAGGGATGAGATGGTTCTTTTGAGTTGAAGTGAAGGGAAGCACAACTTTCTCTGCAGCTCGATCAATGGCCCTACAGATGTAGCCACGTGAGAGAAGATCAACAGCTGAGTTCAAATTTGTTGCACTACACATATTAAAAACATGTCACAGGTTGTTGCGAGTGTCCTTTTAACTGCCTGAATCATTGCAGGTTTTATCTTTCAGGGCCCGGTGCCAAAGACGGTGCAGATCCCTGTGTGCTGGTGGTAACTCTCCTGCCTCTCGCTCATATGTGTGGCAGCGAACAGTATACACAGAGGCTGATTTGAGGTCATGCACCAGCAGCAGTGAGAGAATGTGAATGGAGCAAATAAAGTGTTTAGTCCTGTGTTTGTTTATGCGAGTGCGTCTCAAGCCAGAGGTAAAGCGAAGAGGCACACTTTCTTTCTCCAAACGCTCCCAGGGACCCACAACAGGAATGCCCAGTTTACGATTTGCCCTGTTTCATGTTCATATGTCCCCAAATCAGCAAAACAAGAGCGGAGAAATAAAATGATATTCATATCTCTAGGCCAGGAGCAGCAAAACAGGCCCTGTGTCAAGCTCGCATCGCCCTTTGGCTCTTCTGTGTCAGCAATGACTGATCTGACAGTAGTGACAGTAGATTTGTGACAACTAGTCATTGATTACGAGAACCTAGATATTGTACGTTATTAGATTAGATGGCTTAAAGCTTTTGGATCAAAAAGGATTGGCAATCAATACGCTGTTTCATGTTGTTCAGAGTGGAAAATATAACTAGTAAGTTTTATTTGCTTAGAAAAAAGAAGCAGCTCTTATCATATTGAACCATATCCTTCAGTGACTGCTATCTTACATAAAGCCAAATGATATTGTACACTATCAGTCAGATGCAGCCCATAAGCTATTTAATCAAATTGATCGTTACATAACAAACTGAGTGGGCTACTGCCATCCATGCTCCATCTTCCTGTGGAGCTGCTCTCTGGTATCTGCGGAAGATACTTTATGGATGATGAGTATGCAGTGAAATGAAACACCCCAATCTCCAGCGTGGTCATCTGAGTATCATCTGACAGCTACAGTCCTGTTAGCCATGTCAGAGCAGCAGGAAATGGTGTGCTGATGTTAAAAAGATCTTTGTCAGCTGAGGATGTTGGGAGGTCACAGCAGATAAAAAAAGAAGTTCTGTGAAGTTATTCAAGACTGACATGGGTTTTAGTTTCAGTGAGATCTGTTTGGGTTTGCTTTTTTAATGTTAACTGAATACAGGTAGACTAGGTAGCAGGTTTAATACTTGGGGTAGGCTATACTGTATTTTTTTTTTTTTGGTTGGTGTGTGTGTGTGTTACCAGATGAGGGGTGTGGGGGAGAATTCCTTTGTTTAAATGTAACCTGAACCCAGCTGCTCTGACGAGAGCAACATCAGTGCAGTAGACCCTGAGCTGTGTGTGTGTGTGTGTGTGTGTGTGTGTGTGTGTGTGTGCGCGCGCGCCACTGCCTGCCTCCCCATTCACAACTCTTTCTGGCAGTAGTTGCAGATTCCAAGCCAGGCGAGCGAACGTCATCGTCAGTCGAAGTGAATGAGAGTAAGGGGGAAAAACTGCGTTGCTGCGTCTAGATGCCTTTCTTGAATTGCGGTAACAGAGCCGGGTTATTTAATTTGGGCTACTCAACTGAATTCCACTAACTCCATCTATGCCTGCTGGCTTTTGCATTCGTAGTTGTTCAAGTTAAAATCTCTTCCGTTACATTTGGTGTAATGTTCAGATTCAGTGCAGGGAAATGCTTCAGCACAACCAGCACAAACGTGGATATCTCCATGGTAAAATGACCTGAGCAGTGAAAGAGTAACTAAGGTGAGACATAATGATGATGGGAATATGGCAGTTGTTCCCCATTTGTTCTGCCTTTTTTGTTTCCCTCATCATTTTCACAGTCAAACGATTTACATAATGGCATTAGATTGAGAGCCAGACTTGTTGAAAGAATGTTTTTGGAAGACTGTAATCTTCTGCAGTGATTCATTTATTTGTTTTCAGCCTATAGAGGAATCTCTTTAATGAATCTTGGTCCGTGTTTAACAGCATATGCTTTAGATTAGAATTACAGTATAATAATTTTTATCCAAAGCGACTTACAATTGCTATATATGTCAGAGGTTGCACGGCTCTGGAGCAACTAGGGGTTAAGTGTCTTGCGCAGGTACACATTGGTGGATGTGTCGCAGTGGGAATCGAACCCAGGTCATAGACTCAATGAACAAATGAGAAAAGAATCATCACATTAATGATAATGAAACTAATTGTTACTTGCCCTAGTATAATTACATTTCTTAAATAGTAGTTCATTTAGTGGGCCTATTGGTTGTCAAAATGAAAATTTGGTAAAACCATGAAGTTATCTGACGTTGGCCCAGAATGACAATTGTTAAACTCCTTTGTGTGCTAAATTACAAATGAAGGAATCCATAGAGAAAAGCATTATGTGATTAGCACCTAAATATGGTGGCATCCAGTCATTTGGGATCCTCTAAAGTGCAATAGGATTTTCAGAGGCCCAGATTCAGATTGCAACAAGCCCTGATTGGATTGTCTTTTCTTTGACACCAATCATATCATGGTTTTTTTCCACATTGCACTTTCAAGATGATGTTGCAGGTTCAGACGCTACAGGCCAACTGAACTGATCAGAGACCACAACAAACTATGCATGATACAAGATAACACAAGATAACAGGCATGATGTATTTGGCCGTACAAGTGATTTGTTGTCCCTTCTGATCCTCCACCTGTCAACTGATAGTAATTTTGGCATTTATAAAATACAGTAGACACATACAATGGCACACCTTCCCATTGGCTGTATGGGCAGAAACTGGATTTGTGATGCATTCAAGCACAATAAATTATACTTGCTTCATCTCCCCACTTTAGAAACTTTAGTCTCCCTATACCAATATTGTGGCCACATTGACCAATGGATCTACGTGCATATACCTGTGGGTATGTTAGCAAGTACAGAAACACAGATGCTACCGTTTTCTTGTTTACCATTTGAATGCTACTACATGCAAATATTCCACCAAATTAAACTATGGCAATGGACAGAACAACATCCTCACTGAAATGTCTAGAGAAGAATCTTATATTTGTTTGACGAGTTTTGTTTGTTTCTTATTCATGCGCCTAACTATACAAAGTAGTTATTTCACGCTGCAATATTTTCAGCACAGTTTCAGTTGAAATTGAAAGAAAGTCAGTTTTTTGTGTGTAAATCCTTCAGAATTAAAGTGCAGGGACTATTGTATTGGTTCCCCATCTTCAGTTATACTTAGAGATAAGCCAAAGAAGAAGCAGAGATACCCATGTCCCCATCGACAACGCGCCAAAAGGCTTGCTGTGTTTTGAGTGGGAGTGTGACTCATTTTTTCTTGAGTGGAAAATTTCAGCTCTCTGGCTCTTACTATCTCTATTGTTATTGCTGCCTCTACCCACACATACAGTATACATAACTCAGCTGGATGCAACAAGTTCACGCCTGTTCTCTGGGAGTTGTCAAGTGGAATTCTGGGAAATATAGGAGATAATTATCTAAAGTAGAAGTAGACAAGGTAGGCTGAGGGAAAGTGGAAGCAGAAAATTTTTAATTTTTACAGCTTGTCAATAAAGTACTCCAGGAATGCACTGAGCAG